TGTATGAATCGATCAGTCATACTTCACACACCAATGTTCTGGTTACCTGAATTCTGAGATCTCTATTAGTGAGATTTCGGTGATATTCATGGCACACAGGGTTTCGCCAAGTCCTACTAAGTGAAAGCTCTTCAGATCCTGGATAGCATACGCTGAATCTTCCAGGAACCCTTGCAGAATGGATTTAGCCTAGAAAGATGAGGAAGGATAGAAGATGAACTATGCGGAGATGATCAAGATTCCAAGTCCAGAGGGGATAGCAGTCTCCTGACTGGTCCCCCAACCCATCCCTCGGGATGCTCTCCCCAGCCCATGAATTCTGGCCGTTGCATCCAGGTTAACATCCTTAAGTGCTGCTTCCACTGAGTATGCTCCCTGCTCTATGGAGGTGTCCTCAGGCAGTGAAGTTCTTGTTCCTTCACCAATACTAAAGAATTTTTATTCTGCTGGTTTATTTTCTTCAGTCATTCTCACAGCCTTCACAGAGTTTGGCCATTCAAGTTGCTCTGCATTGGAATCCAAACATTCCCAGTATCATTTCTACAATATTCCAGCAAAACATTGCCATTTCCTGCCTCCATGTCTTTGTTCAAATCAGACCCTCCACTTTGAAATGCATTTCTTGCATTCCCAACTGCTGAAACCCAACCACCCTTTTACTTTTTGGTCTATTCAAAAGTCACCATCTTCCTGAAATCTCCTCCGACCATCTCGGCCAAAATTAATTTTTCTTCCTTTAAGATCCCAAAGAAATTTGTTTGCTCCTCACTCTTCAATTCCAAAGAGTCGACCCTAAAATGTATCGGTGTTAACAACCACACAAGGATCTCTTGAGTGAGCTCTGATTTAGGAGGGCTGATGTGTACAGTCCTTGTAATTCCAGCCTAGCAGACATTCATTATCCATGGCTTTACCTAGGGAACCACTCCTTCTGCACTCTTACTTCATTTAGGTCAGTTGGCACTGAGTGTATCCTGAGATCCAGGGCTGATAGTGTGACCCAGTGCTGGCCAACCAGTCATCATTTAGTCTAGCTGCAGTAATTGCTTCTGGATTAGGCATGTGGTTCAATTAGATACAACTAGGCCTTGGGCTGGAGCAGTTAGGAGAAAAGTTATCTCTTTACTCTGGATTTGAACTTGGAATGACATACACCTGGATTGGCTAGAAGCCACCATGTCAGGAGAGCCAGAACAAAGGAAAGCAGAATCAAAACATGGTTAAAGACAGAGAGTTAGCTGTGGGCTTGGGACCATAGTCGCAGGGGACATCAAGCTCAATTGGCATAACATACCATACAAAATATTGTTCCACCTCCTACTTTGGCGAGTAGTGACTGGGATCTTAAAAGCTAGCAAGCTGACATCTAGATGCAACGATGGGTCTCTCCTCGTCCAGAGCAAAGAAGAATGAAGAAAACCAAAATTCATGGAAACAATTAGTCCTAGCGACTGGTACACCAT